TGCACCAGCATGAAGTGGTTAACCTCACTTTCAATTTCAATATGGCCGACCCATGAATAAAGTCTATAACATCTACATGTATCTGGTGTGCCTTTATAATCTGACGTTATCTTCTCTCTTTTTTTCTCCTTTCCCTGTTTGTTTAATCACAGTTAAATGTGTTTGTCTGCCTAACTACATGTTCAGCCATTTATACATGTACAATGTACATGTAGCTTACAGACATTGTACTTAGATACTGGAAAACTGGTATTGTCTGACGTATCCGCATGTTGTCTGGCTGATTTTAACTGGTCTAGCATTCAACACACTGGGGGGGTATCAAGGATTATTATCACGGCTGACCTCCTTTCGCAATGTGCAGAACTCCCATAGCTTGAAGGTTGAATTTCTGTCTGGTCATCAGTTGCACACATTTTGTTGTGATAAACAAGCACTTCAAAACTTGAACAGCTGCATGTGCAGTGGTACACAAAATTTGGGGATACCAGAAACCCCTTCATGTACATGTTATACGGCATTTGGACAGGGTCTACATTTTGTGACATGCATGTACAGTGCATTTACTTGACACACTTTGACTGAGAAATTGTACATGTATGGTACATCAGACCTCCTAACATTGGCTATCAAAAATTCAGCATCCTTCTCCCCAAAATTCAGAAGTTTTTATGAAAATTCAGAGTATTGTACGCAACATGAGTTAACGGCTGATACAATTATTCCGGAAATTTGCACCACCGCAATACGTTCATGAGGTGCAACTGTACGTAATGTCATGGGAATACATTGTATTGAACATGCGACCATATATTCAAAATGGACACTGACTGTTCATATGTTCAATGACAACACATCTGGGCACTGGTGTCAGAATCCATCAAGTCAGCTTACCATGAACAAGGAGAAATCAGTACTGTGTCGTGCAAGAGTCAAGTCCGCATCAATGATGATGGACAGAAGCGCACATACATGTACATGTACTCACTGATTCCATAAAATTTTGATTGCCACAAGAGTTTGCACTGTACGTGTACATCACCTTAAATGGTCCACGATAATTTTTCATTTCCTAATTGTGTTGATTCACCGCGACGTTTGGCGCAAAATTCAGAGACAAATTCACAGCAGATTTAACAGCAGTGCTTAGTCTTGGCTCCAAAATGTTCGCAACTGTCATTCCTAGCAAAACCGGGTGCCGCACGATGCATACATTGTTAGTTACAATGTAGCTTGTTGAAAGAGGGTGTTTACCTCTGTGAACGATTTCGGTATCACGTCCATGATCACGTCCATCTCGCGGCAGGTACATGTATGTGCAAAAGGGGGCACTGCCAAGGTCGTTGCACGTGCAACGTGAACTGCACTGACTGTCTGGATAAGCCCGATACGTCGAATTACGATACATGCACATGATTACATGGTCAGTTTCCGGTTATACATAGGCCTGTCAAAACTGCGATTTGGCAGAAGTTTTAGGGGCAAAATCGGAATGGTGGGAACACAGTGGAACAGTGGAAATTTTCCGCCCAAATTGGGAGGGTTGGGAGGTCTGATGCACTCAGAACGTTTTATTTCATGTGAAACCAATTTGGGACATACCTGAAATGGGAATGTTGAATCTTCGTGTGTTTTCCTGCAGGAAAGAAATGGACAGTGTACTCACTATATGTTGTAAAACTTCATGAACAATAACAAAATATACATGTATCAATGACAAATACTTCAAGGTATGGCTTTTCAAATCATGTAAAATTTAGAAAATGTATCAAGAACCTACATGTATACCCCTGTATACCAAAATTTGTCTCATTTGATGGGACAGATTTGAAACTACCAGTGGTCCTAAATGATTTTATGCAATGTGTAATATTCTAGGTATATGTATTTTTAGGTCATACTGTAATTGCACAAGAAAGATCGCCCTGTTGCTGTAAAAGGGCCACATCACCAGCTTCCCTAATTCTAGCTGTTCCAATTTCACAGTGACAAGCATTTTAAGTCAAGCATATACTAGTCACAAAGCAAACCTCTTGTACATGCTCTTTTGATGTCTTATTTTGTTACATGTACATGTACACGTACATGTACATGTATGGCAACTTTTTATGGCTTGGGACTTGTTAGAGGATTTCTGACACAAACTTTTCCATAACGCAAATTTTTAGCAACTTCATATGCAAAACTGCATGTATTTTGACATCCCTTTGGAGTTAAGCCCAGGTGAGCTTCTTTAAACATCTAAGTTTGTTCATGCTTTTCTGGAAAACAGGGGGTGCTGTTTCTGTAATGTTAATCAAGGAGGACAGTTTGCAGGTTTGTCTGCACAAACAGTGAATCCTAAATTGACTCAGTGAAAACCTATGGAAGAAAGTGTTACTCGTTGGCTTACTGCTGCAACGAATCAACAAAGAAAGAGAAATAATTCAGCAAAAATAAGGGTAATTGAAACACAAAGGTCTAGTCTCAGGGAATAGAACAACAAAAAAATTGTACAGTATCTAGACCCTTTAATGTTGTTGAGAGATTCTCACCTTGAGTAACTGTTGCAATTGTTGTAACACTGGATGAACCTCCTCCTTAAGTAACCACTGAAACTCATCCTCCTGTAGGAAAAACCATGACGAATGACAAACATCACACCGACAGAACTTAAAAGACCGTACAGGTCAAGTGTGTGAATGAGAGGGCTAGTGCTTTAGAGCAATACATGAGAGAGGGGGGGTGTTGATACCTTGAGTGTCGGTGGCAGGGCTTCCAACACAGTGCGTACACTGGCAGAGTGCTTATTTTGTTTTTAACTGATTATCATCAAATGAAAACATTTTCTCATATTTTGATCCACGAAGACCAGCTTTCATACACTGAAATTGTAATAACAACTGTTCTTGTTATCTCCAATGACTCAGACTGTTCTAATACCATCGCAATTGGTATGATAAGTCTAAGAAAAAAGTGGAGTGCCAAGGGGGGGGGGTTGGAAGCACCGTGTATAATGCCATACAAACAGGGGAATGGGAAATCAAAAGTTGGCATTTCATACATGCACATACATGTATGTACATGGGCATACTTCAAGGACAGCTGACTGGTTGAAGTGAGCCACTGCCGGCAGACGTGGATTTCCTTTTTATTGCTCATTCACACAAAATCCCATAGAGGCCGACCCATGTGCTGACTTGAATGCTGTAGATGGCCTGATGTAACAAGTACATGTGCCATTCCATGACAGGGCATCAGAGCATTGCCAAATTTTAGGTAAAGGTTAGAGACATCATACTCTAATGAGTTAATGTTTGTTGGGGTTGGACTGTATCTTATTATGTCAGTTGGTTGCTGTATCTCGCCTTTTTTCAAAAGTCAAAATTACAACTAAAACAATACCCTCCGCAAGTACCCCCCCCCAAGTTTTGTTTTGATACTACCAAGAATGATTATCTGCTTCTTAGATACATGTACATGTACTTATTAAACTGTTTGTGAAAATTGTTTTCAGAAAATTTCAGAAGTTTGATTTACTGAACAAACAATAAATGAAAAAAAAGGCAGAATTCATGAATTTCCAAAAACAACATAATTATGCAGGCTGAGACATATTTATTAACTCAAGAAAATGCACACAAATACGCAGGAAAATTCCATACATGGACAATACTCATTTTTTTTCTGCAATCATACGAGAAAGCAATAAGAAGCCAAATTAAGCTGGGAGAATGTCGAGGCAATTACTTTTAATTGAAAAACACTCAGAAATTTGTTGATCAGTCTCATAGTGTTTGTGCACAGAGTGTCAAGTGATTGTTAGGGTGTGGAACTTTTCTGTCATGGAGAGCGATCCACATCCGGCCATTTTTAAAGCTTTTTACCAACTGCAGATTGTTTGTTTTGAGTTTGCATAAATTAATAAAATTGCCTGCAGGAAAATCATTCATCATCTAATATCCACAGCATTGGCACTGCAAACCGCATGGAAACTGTCTATTAGCAGGGTTGTAGCTAGGAATCTTTTAGTGCTGGATGTTTTTGACAATTTCTAAATAAAAAACAAATTACAGTGCATTTTCTCTCAACACTAGAAAATTACAATAATGTGGTATACATGTACATTGTATTTGTAATTTGTGCTGGCAGGCAAGCTTCATTTACGTGCCCGCGGGTAAATGTTGAGTGGTGGCTGGCACCGGCCAGCACCAGCCTGCGTACCTACAACCCTGAATAGTATAAAATGCAGGGATGGGATCTGGAATCTTCTACATACATGTACCGGTATCAAACTTGGCCAGTTATCCAAGACCATATTAAACAGTATCGCCATCATGACAAATGACTCTGTCAGTTCTCGCATATGGTACATGTACTTGTATGTACATGTAAATCTTCTAAGCAAAGCTTAAACTTTTAATTTTTAATGTACATGTATGTACAGTATATATGGCAAAAAAATTGGCCATTGTTTAATGGCAGTACCGTACCACATTCCAAAACAGCAGTAAACGTTGTGTGCATACATGTACGTGACCGGAACACTTTGTACAGGTACTGGTAAATGTACATGTAGGTTCACAGTGTGAAAGCAAAATAGACATGTTCACACACATGGCCAGCTGCATTAGAGTCTGGGCACATGTCATGCATGTGTACTGCTCTGGAAAACTGCTAATTCCACGCGGTTGTTATCTGAACGTGGATCATTGACATGCATGTACATGTATTAATGACCATGGCAGCAGACACATTGTACCTCGCTTTGTGCACAGTCCGTCTCAGGCTCAGCGTTTCATGTTTTTGGATGCCTTATGACATTCAGCCCTAGGTTTTAACACCCTCACAGACTGGTACCGGTATGTACATACTGCAGCAAACTCAGCTTAATTTTGCTCAGTTTGGAAAAACAAAAAGTACATGTATATGTAGGGCCTAGGCGTACTGGCAGTGTTTTGGTTAGAAAAATCAGGTAGAGAAGGAATTTACCAATATATAAACAAAACTGATATGGGCAATGTTAACGGTAGGCCTAATTAAAAAAATTTCAATTTTTTTAATGGAAAAAGTGCCATATACAGACATCACTTGACATCCTGTACAAAAAACCCTGTCATAGCTGGAACTAGTATAATGTTAACAATTATAAGTAAACACTTTGATATCTTCCCTGCCAAATTTGATTTCAAGGCATGTTATCACTTTTTAATGGCTGAGATATGTAAATCACTACAGGGAGAAAATGGAAAGAGCTCCATATACATGTACATGTATGGACAGTATCAATTTTCCCTTAAAATGTGACAACTGCCATGAGAAAGTAATAACATGTCCTCAGTGTGGAATTTACAATGTAGCTAAGAAAATTCTGAAGCATTTACTAAGAAGTGGGGAGTCGGGTTGGCAAGGTACATGTAGTTCTTTCCTCTCCTTCCACCTCTGTGGTCCCGGGTTCGATTCCCGGCCCGGTCCACATGTGGGTTGGGCATGTTGGGTTTTCAGTCCCTACATGTACCTGACTTCGTGGATTTTACCCAGACTATTCCTCTGGGGTTTTCCTCCCACCTCTAAAAATGCAACTGCTTCTTATTGTCTCCTCTTTACTGATGTTGGTGAATGTGGGTCGTTTGGCGGCTGCCCGAGGCACCCTTGTGGGTGCAGTGTCCCAATTCAAGGAAAATTCTCCGCCAGGCCGAAGCGCACAAAAAGTACCCCTACAGATTCTTGTGAAAAGAGGGGTCCGTTTGGGCCAAGAAATGGTGTGATTGTGTCAGTATGGCCCAGGATCATCTCTGTAGATTCAGGGGCACCCATCTGGGGGCAATGCAGACAAAAATGTGATTGAAAATTTGTCAGAAGAGCCCCAGGAAGGTGAGAGATGTCATTTGAAAAATGGTCGCTGGGAAGGCTTGGCAACATTCACTTTTGGGGGGGGTGAGTTTGTTTTGGGTGGATACTTTAAAAATTCATTGGTTAACCTACAGTACTAAAACTTGAAAATCAAATGATATCTGAAGGACCAAACAACACATTGTTTTTTGTTTGAGAGGCTTCAGGGACTTCAGTTACCTGCCCTGGGGCTCCAAACTTGGTTGATTTTACACTATTTTCAATGGAGCTTGAATTGGTTCAGTGCACCCTTGTATGCCATCGGCTCAATCATGTTTAAATAAATTCACTGTTCCACGCTTAATGTCTTCATTGTACAGCACATTTGAACATATGTGAAATTTGCACTTCATACATGACTACATTATTATTATTAAAAAAAAACACTTAGGGCTTTTCAGAAGGGTCTCTCTCATACTGTAGTTTTGTGCACTGGGGCATAAAGCGTTGTCCGTAAATGGAACTCTTTCCGAAAACATTAAAGATGTCCATACATGTACATGTATTCCCTTTTTTTCTTTTTGAATCATCACCAGGTTTTTGCAATGTGTAGGCATGAGAGACTGATGGTACGATCAGCTTCATCATTTGATTGACTGTACAGCCACACGTTGAATTTAAGGGGGGATTTTCGTCAGGCAGGGTACATGTGAACTGCTATTGCTCCTTACGATCATTGTTATTTCATGGTCATGATCACCAATCGCGACTTTCTGCTCATGACTAGCGTTCCTGTCTGCTTTCTTCTCTTTATGGTCCAATGAACACGTTAGGCAAACATTAGTAACTTGGACCCTACAATTTACAAATCACCTTTTTTAACATTTGGACATGGTCAGACGATAGTAGGGCCCAAGTACCTTCCATTAACTTTTGCTTCCATAAATCCATTTTACTCAAAATACGGCATGTGTCGACGTGTGCCAACGCGCGCCAACGACTGATCCCTGAGCACAGCATGTCTGGTAGCTGTGATCACATCAAAACTGTACATTGGACAATGTCAGCGCGCGTGTGCCGACACGGCATGCTTTTTGTGAATGGTCTGGGACGTTATCTCCAGAATATAACACACTGTTCAAATTGCTATTTGAACAAGATGGCAACATTGAGCTCAACAAATTGTTTCCGATTTGAAGGGGAAATTTCTCTTTTCTTCCCAAATAAGAGTAAACCTTATCATCATTATTGGAATATCATATTCTCACTTGATCCTAAGCTGGGCCCATTAGATACATGTAATTTAAGGACCATTTTGGAGGTGAATTCAGAGGATTTTGATTCAGGGTACTGTACAAGCAATTTTGAGTAAGATGAATTAGGCCTAATGGAAGTAAAAGCCTATGGAAGGCACTTGGACCTTACTGTCGCCCGACCATGTCCAAATGTTCAAAAAAGCGATTTGTAAATTGTAGGGTCCAAGTTACTCATAAACTATATGGCGTGTGTATCGACCTGACATGAAAAAAAGAAAAAATTTTTTTAAATTCCAGATTATTGTCCAGAATGGTCAATGTGAAATGCTGTCATGGCTGTGTTCCATTGTGTTTATCAAGCACTCAAGAAACGCCAGAGTTGCGTGTTTTTTAACTTCCACGGGACCGCAGGAGGTGACAGATTTGGATAAGTTCCGTGAGAAATAAGGCCATCAAAGCAAAATCCAAGTGGACCTCTGTATGCAGTCTACATTTTGTAGGCGAAGACAAAACTTACGATGTACCGATAAACACCGCATTACGTCATTTGTGGAAGGTCTGTTTACGATTTGAAATGAAATGTCAAAAAAACAGGGTCAGGGCAGTTCAGACAGTGCTGCCTTTGTTTTTTGTGGGGAATTACCAGGCTTGCACAGATTAAAATGACAAAAACTGGGGGTTCCAAAATGTATAATCCCAGAAAATATGATTTTCTTACCAAACTTAATCTCTCTTCTTCGTCACTGTCTTCTGCCATTTTGCCTTCTGTTTTGAACACTAGACCACTTCATGCCAATGGAGGGCGCTTTCAAAGTCGTAACCAGACCACTGAATACTGACCCTTTCCTGCAACAAAAAAATCAAATTTGCAAACCTTTGCACTATTTTTATCAATTAATTTTTTAATAGAAAATAACTGTCTGAGACAAAATCTCGCACCAAATTAAAGATTTACCCGGATATTTTATTAATCAGTATCGATCCAACGGTGCACGAATATTCGAAGCCTTTTTGGTATCCATCTTTATAACCAAAATGGTATATCCAGCACAAGGATGATGATTTTCTGTTAGACTGTACCGATCACGTTAGTACTGATATCATTTCACATGGTAGAATCGTTAAATAAGTGACATTTCTTGTTCATCACATCCGCTGCTGTGGACACTGACCAGTGCGGTGCCGAGACATCAAAGTCGTCGCGTCCGCCCCAGCACATGTACTACGCGTACACATGTAAACACGCATACGCGATGCGACGGTGCTTGAACCGTGACTCGCCGCTACAAGAATGTCACTCAGAAGTCTGCCCTTACAAGAGTATGGTGCAAGGGTGTCCTCTTTTTTGTAAAAGGTTTGACAAAGCAATAATTCCTGACTCTAAGAATTAAGTTTTATTAGGGCAAAACTTTTTAGATGAGATATGTGACGTATTTTTTCATCGCAAAATGTCTGTCCTCGCACGATTTGGCGCGAAAATTTGGTTCAAATTCAAACTTATTTTACAAAAGATTTTATCCGGCAGATTCCTAATTTTTTTAGTGCAATCGATTAAGATAGTCTTCTAGTTTATCAGAGTTTAGTTTTTACAACCAGGAAAACTCAATTTTAATAGATATTGATCAAATTTGGCAACACTCATTTTTATTTCTGGTGAGAAATGAAATAATTTTTGGGTTTTTTAAAAATCATTACCTTTGTTTAGGCAGGACACAAAATCAATGCCACTAAAAAACAAAACGATTAAAGTAATTTGAATTTGTCATGAAAAATTTCATAATATATGCTCTGTTTCCTGGAAATCCATTAACAAAGATACCGCCTCACTTTGCAATCAGAGCGCACGAAATCTGACATAGCCTGTTTCTATGCCGTTGTTAAGAACAAATCTTGCGCACTTTGGTAATGAGCGCCATGATCATAATTATACGTGAACTACAGTGGTTTTCGTGATCTCTGCGGCGCCCGACTAAAATCAAAACTATGGGCAAATTCACCCCTCAGTATAGGGAATTTACAGTTGAAGAATTCCTGCCATAAAATTATACGAATAAGCCATTTCTCGACTGTAAAAAAATCCTCTCTTTACTTAATCTGTCCCTTAGGGATTAGAAAAAAATGCGGTCGCAACATTTAAAAGGAATAGATAGCAGTACCGAAGAGCAAAGAAACACATGTAAACAAATACAGGCAATGATATACCGGTTGTGCGTAATGCGCACCGAACGCACTGCCATCCGTTGTTTCGCCCATACTTTTCAAAATGACGGTTTTACGCACAATACCAGCAGGCTATGCGTTCATACGTCTGTGCCACAGACCCAGAGACATAATTATAAATACATGTATTTGCATGCACGGCACCAAATACGCGCCCGTAAAAACGGCAAAATAGCGCCGCAATTTTCCTAGCAACGGAAGCTTCTTTGGTGGGATCTCTACTTCGCTGGTTCACAAACGAATGTGAAATGCGTGCATTACGGTCGTGTCGCTACCAAACAAAATCGGTCGTGTCGCTACCAAACTAAATGAACATTCCCCACCAGCACGGTTCTTTTCAACCCGATGAGGGGGCGCTAGGATAACCGCGCCTGGTGTTGCCACATCGAAGTGCCAAATAAAATTTAGTCTCAACGGACAACTGGACCAATCAATGTTAGTGCTCATTTTATACCGCAAATTAATACGACGACGAAGTCAAGAACAACCCCAACCTCCATTTCAAGAAAGCCTTTTACTCGATTAATCGGGGGAAATGATTAGGAACCGGGGCGCGTATGGAATGCCCCCTGCAACTTCTGAAAGCCACAGATACCAAGGCAAGGTAATCATCCTCCAACGGCAGTGGCGAAGCTAGGATTTTACTATTCGGAAGGTGACACAAAGAGGGCACAGGCATCTTATGGGGGCATCAGTTTTCAGTGGTGTGAGTTTTTTTTTGGGGGGGGGGTTATGTTACGCTTGTTCAATATCCATTCATCCGGTTTTTTTTTTTCTTTAAAAATCTGTAGGGTCAGGGTGAGGCTGAGACTGATCCGAGTAGCTTACAATTTTTGGCTCAGAACTTAACCATATTAAGTGAAAGTGACGCTGAAATAACTAAGTTAAGCGGCTAAAAAAGGTAAGTCGCCTGGCCGGGATAAGCAAACGTTTTTGAACATCATCAAAGACGAGTTACTGATTCCGTGTCTATACTGGACGTCTATTGCTGAAGGTGAGTTAAAATCATTGAACAAACTAGACCGAACAAACTAGACCGATGTTAAGGGTACTGAAATCAGAACTGTGACAAGTAACATATTTTGAGTCAAAGTCAAAAGTCAGACGAGCAGTAAGGGACGTGTTACAAAGATGTCAGATGTACATTGACAGGAATGGTGGCCATGTGAAGGGCAAAGCACATTAAAATTATGAGGTAAGTAGCGAGAACGAAGCATATTAGATTGATTTAGGTACATTCCTTGTTTTCAAGAATGCGTTCTGAAGGCAAACGCATTTGGTATTCTGCACACTTGCATGGTTGAGCCTTGTTAATCAAATATGCAAACTTGTCACAGTGCCGATTTCAGTACCCTTAACATCAGTCTAGTTTGTTCACTCCTTTGTGTCAATAACCACGCAAGCTGTATACAGTTGCAAAGAGGACATTCTGCCCTTTCTAGAGATTTATTTCTCTTTCCCATTAATAAAGTAGTTTTGCCATTACAGTAATTTTTATCTCGGTATACCTTTTATATAACTACCCTATATTTATGTCAATATCATTTTAGTACGAGACATGCTTACGTGTACGATGTGGGTTGATGTTCCCAATGCGATGTAAATAAAGGACATTTGATTATGTGGATCATCGATATTTGTTTACAGTCCTGATAGCTCCGGGCTTTGTAGAAAGATTTATTTATCTATGAATCTATCTATCAATCTATGATGCCATAGTGTGTGACCCGACTTGATGAATATTGGGGTCATAGCAGAACGCGGAATGGGTGATTTTGGAGTGAAAATTTACTGTCTTGATTGGAAAAGTTTCATGTGAAGCGTACGTATGGTATTGTTTGCTGTAAATTGTACTTCGTCAGATGTTTGTTTGTGTGGCGACTCGTATGATTTACACTAGGGTTTCGATCTTTACTCCACACACTATTCATTATTAGGTGCTGTCTGGTAGGCCAAGTCCACGGTCGCACACCGGCCTGGAATTTGAGGAATTCGGGGAATATGGAATTTCATGTAAAATAATAAAGGAATAACAAGAGATTTGAATCATTTAATTGTAATCATACCTGGACATTTGAACCCCCCAAAGTTGAGATGTGAATACAACTCTGTATATTTTGAGCCAGTTACATTTGGACTCATTCTGCCCGTCTCCCTTTGCCTTGGCTAGCGGACTTCCTTAATAGAGGGCCTGTCATTACACTACCAACGCTGGGCAAAACGTCGGGCAGCTTTTTGCCCAATATGTGGACGCCATGGGAGGAAAAATCCTGTACCAATCGCCTGAGAGAGGCGGAATGAGTGTCTGTGTCTTTGCTTGTTTTGTCAATTATTTTAATAATTAGGTCATTCGGTTTAAATGGGGAACGATTGAACGTTTAGGTCAGTATCCCTACGTGCGTGCAAGTGGGTATGCAATGATTTCAGTAACTAATTAAAAAAAATGATATCCTCGGTTGTGCCCAGTTTACCCCACTTCCTCAACTTACAGAGTTTCGCTTTGTAAAATTTGTGTTTGACCAGACAAGGTCAACAGACCTTAAATCCACAGGGGCTATTCACACGCGTCTAAATTTTATTTGTAGTATGCATGATCAAATAACCTTGCATAGGTATACAAGTTATCACATCTACTACCAATTTCCCGAGGAAGTAGACGACTCGACATGGATAAAGCTACAAAAATGAAGCTGAAGTTTGTGGTGTCGCTAAGCGTGAAACATTCCAAAGCAGGGATCCGGTCCATCTGTAACCGACTGGCCATGGAACACTTTGACAAGCTGACCTGCCGTCCTCAAGATAGCGTACTTTATGTCGGGTGTGGCTTGGGAGAGGAAGCCATCATTCTAGCGACAAAGGTACAGAACGTTGTCGGTAAGGTAGCTGACACGCAGACACAGTAGCTCAGCTTCAGATATGGTAGATCGGCATGGACGTGAGGTCGACAGGGAGTTCAGTCAATGTAGCGGAAACATGGGCCGTGGTACTGGTCTGTTCTGTCGACATGGGTGCGTGAATAGATTACACGCAGAGATATCCAAGGTCGACATAGAGTCCAATTAACGTGTGGTGAGTATTTGAGCTAGTCCACTCTGTCGACTAGATGCGTGAGCGGCTTTGTACGTAGGTATATGTCGTAAGTCACGGTGGCGTAAATTTGTGCCGGGAACTTGCCCAACCATGAAACTTGGACTCACTATAGTGCCCTAAATCTTTAAACGTTGATTCTCATTTTAAAAAGTCACCATCAATGGGTATGAGTGTGATATCAGGACTTTTTTCTTCGTTTCGTCTTCAGTTGTCTCCTCCTTATTCAAAGAGTTGCAGTTTAATGGCCACGATCGGTACGTTGATAAATTACCCTGTTAACTGGTAAAACAGGTACTGATATCGATTCAGCTATTTTGGAGATTGCAGAGCAAGACTATCCCGCTGACGACGTGGGGTACACGTTGGATAATCTGGTAGATACCAGCCCCAACCTCCCGAAGTGGCGTGGGGCCTTCGACAAGGTGGTCAGCATCAATCGTATCATGCTGTTCCCGGAGATGCCTACTGTCCTGCGGAGCATGATAGGCCGTCTTAAGCCCGGAGGCGAGTTTCTGGCCGCCGTCCCAAACAACGACTTCAACTTCTTCTAGGAGCGGCGCAGATAATCGAGGAACTCTCTGGGATGGGGGAGTCAGTCAAGGTGAATTATCCCTGTGGTTGCAGACCAGTAAATTGTGTCCCAATAGACAACAGTCATAAATACCCCCACTTACAAAAACAAAGAAGGAAAAAAAATTACCGATTGAAAGCAATAAAAATGGCCTTATGTATGACACTGTTCAAAGTTTGAACATAAATACTCTTCAAATGTTGGTTGTATAATGAGGCGTCATCGGGTGTGTTTTTGTGTTTATATCAAATTTATTTGGACGGGAAAAAATATTTACCAAAACGTCCATACAGATTTCATACTTTTTTTACCTACAGTTTAGTATGACATAAATAAAAGGTAACAGAGTGACAAGAGAGCCTGTGGCCATGAGCGTCGCCAGGATTTTTTCCAAGAAACCATTGTTTTCCCTTTGGGTGGGTAATCAAAGGGTGGATGGGGCGATATGTCAAAGCAAATCCTTGACTTTCATCGATTTCCTCTATTATTTCTATTTACTTCGTTTTATCCAACTTTTAAAATGTGTCCCCTTGTTTTCGGGGGGGGGGGCGGAAGTTCCCCCTTTTGCCCTCCTCTTGCGACGCCCATGCCTCTGGCAATCATGGGCGTAGATCCCTTGGGGATGAGGAATCTGCATCATCATATCCCAGATTTACATCTGTATCATGAACATCGTTCCTTATAGACTATCATTTGATGTCAACCCCTCCCTTTTTTGTCAAATTTTCATGGCTGGGTAAGACCCCCCCGCAAATCCCCGTCCTCTACCCTTTAATTTCCAGTACGTGAATTTACGCCTTTCCAAGCGCGATAAGGATTTTGCAAAACTGTGGAGGGACATAAATATTTGCGACATGTCGTGAATATATTTGCGACGTCGACGTCGTCAATGTATTCACGACTTATCATGAATAATATTACGACGCCGTAAATTAATTCTCGACAATATAGTCGTGAATAAATTCATGACCAGTTGCAAATAAAATTCGCTAATGGTTGAACAAATATAGGCCAACATGTGAATAAATAAATACCTGGTTCCACATCGGAAACTTAGTGTTTTGAGCAGTCGAATGCTTCTAACACTGCTGTTGCCGCAGTGGCGGCCTCCGCTCTGCTGCTGATGTTGCCGCTGCTGCTGCTGCTGCCGCTGCTGCTGCTGCTGCTGCTACCACTGCTGCTACTACTGCTGTTGCTATTACCACTACTACCGCCGCCACCCTAAACTGCCAATGCTGCAGCCACAGCTGCTGCTGAGTGGGACATAATTCCTCAGTTTGGGCCTCCCAAAGGCATGTTTTATAAAGGGGCAAGGGTAACCAAATGTTATGTTGGTGCAATTTCTTGTTTCTCTGTGAGGCAACTTGAGAGAAGTGTAAGTTTTAGCCCATACATAATTTTTTATTTTGGTTCACCTTATCACCACGTTTTCATCGGCTGAACGGTGCGGTCTCAACCTCCATATCCTATGAAATCGGTCCTCCGCTCTTTACAGATCCGTTTTAAAACAGGAGACGAACGTGACGATGTGGCGCAAAACTGTTGAGGAGGCAAAGACATTGTTGGAAGAAATTTGCGAATGGTCTCAACTTTCTTGCAAGACTCAACGTTTTGATTTTAGCCTTACCAAAAAGAAAGCAAAGCGTAAGTAGAAAACACACAAACAAGCATACAGACGGACAGAAAGACAGTGAAACAGACAGACAGCTCGGCCGATATGCACACAAAGCAACACGCAAAAACAAAAGACTCAAACACTAAGACAGGAAACGAGCATTTCAAAATACGCCCTCGTAATATATCTTTGTGTTACAGTTACTTGTTTTCCATTTCTAAAAGTGTTCTGATACCTTTTTGGCTCCCTTGGCAGTGGAAACCTTCCTTATGTTCAGGAGCAACAGTTATGTCATTACATTAGAAAACATTTATTTTGCATTCAATTTGATTTGAATATGAAAATAAATTAGTAGAATCTTTGATATTTTGCTTCCCTTGTTGTTCCATCGTTGTATGGCAATAGGCCAACGAGCAATCCTTTTTCACAAGTGTTTTTAATGAGTAAATTTCGGAGTAAATACCGGTATGAACTAAAACACGTATGAATTGAACAGCGCCCTCCCTGAATGACATGAAAGCAACAGTTCCCCAGTTGTTTGGGAAAAGCATGGACAATACATATTTTTATATGTTTCAGTAGAAGGTGCACGTTTTAATACACTTGACCCTAGAAGAATGTCAAATGCGTGTAGTTTTCTTACTATGTAGAAGAGTATAAAGTTTCACAAAAAGTGTGTCGCGAATGAACTTTTTAAGAGTAAGCACATGAACCAGCCTGCAATTTGGATATTATATCATTGCTATGTAATGTCCTTACGAAATTGCACGGGTGACTCAAATTATGCGCCTAAAGTAGACGTGAGTACATTGTTTTGCGGTAAATCTGTTTTATTATTCGAGTCATGGTCTCAGTGCCTGTTACAAATCATATTTTCTTAAATTGGCTCAAGAGTATGAGCTTGGTCCTGTCAAAACGTAAACTTAAAAATGAAACAGAATTAACAAAAACCAAACCAAAATAACGAAAAAAGAGCGAAATGTGGTTCAACTTACTCTAACTTGACCTTGCATTCTCTCACGCAAACGCCGAGATTCAATCACATTGGTTTCAATTTATGTGATTTGCATTTTGTTGAGAGGTCTTGTTTGTGTCCTCTTTGGTGCTGCTCAGAGGTGTGGTTGGATGGTCTAGACATCCTGAACCGAATGAGTGAATCTAACCGGGGAGCGTGTCTGGAGACCATGTGGCAGTGGGCTCGGAACAACTATGGGTGCAACGACGACGGCTCGCTCCAAAAACCATCGGAGTACATGGTGATTTATGGAGTCAAGAAGAACTAGTGACAAGTCTATGGCATTGTTTTACTTGACGCTCCCACGGGTACGCCAATCATAAACCAAAATCGATTTGGTTGTAATTCCTAACAGATTTTCTTTGGTTAATCGGTCAGGATTACACGTGATGATGTGGTACTAAATCCTCAAAACAATCAACCACAGAGAAACAACCGCCGAACCAGTTTTTGGTTACGACTGCCAAACTGCACCCGCCCAGCCGGCTATGGGGCGGTTAAAACCGGACACTGATAGAGTATGCCGATTAAGGAAACAATTGTTGGTAACTTACACCCTTTTCAACAACTTTACGGTGCAGCAAACAATGTCATTTTCTATTGATGGAAATTAATTCATTTGATGAAAATTAATGTTTACTTGAATGTAGTGATAGCGCTAAAAGTCGTTTGTGAACCACGACAAGTTGCGAGCAACCGTAAACTCTGGTTGAACTTATGGACTAAAACCCGTCGACGAAAAGCCTGGTTTACATATCGACAAATGCAACGCAAAGAGCAACGCGATCCAGACGCAAACTGCAACGCGGAGAAATGGAAACGTGTCAAACAGAGGTGTCGCCAAAAACGCAGAAAAACACAAACCAGCCCGCGAACGATCGGCAAAGTGGCAGGCTCAACTTTGCCGACTATCTGCGTCCAGTAGCCGTGGTGTCCCCATACAAACACCTAATACAGTTGGTGTGATGTGTCCTCTGGATGTTTTGCCGACCAACGATGTCCCTCTCGCCTGGTTCCAGAATTTTTGCTCATTTTCTACTTAATGCTTAAATACTCCACCCTTGTGATCAATAAACAGCTGACCGTCAATGAAATGCATGAAAGTGGAATACAGGTTTGGCAAGTACAGTCAAAGGGTATTTTCCGCAAAATATCAAGGAGTTTTGGACGCCATTTTGTTTCGATTTTTGGGAATGACGTCATGCACCGTCTCTTCCGTTCGTGTCGGCGTCTTCACGTCTTGCACACCGTCTGCGTTACAAACGACCATCTGGAAACTAGGCTTTACATTCCTCTCCGACTTTCCTCAATGCGTGTTCGTGCTCAAAGACTCGTGCATTAGTGCGGTTGAAAACAAAGAGTTTCATATTTGAGGCAACTGCGTTCAAAAATGGAAAACAAATTTAGAATAATGCTTCATGGAAGACCATGCAGGCGATCACTTCTGTCAGGCCACATGTGCTCATCCACGTCGCGGCAAATATCTTCTTTTGCTAGCCATCTGGGGAAGAAGCGTCTGGCGTGGCGGATCGAGGACTGACACACCTCTTCGTCGACGTCTTCGCATATTTCTTCCATAGCTTGAAGAAGAGTGGCTCGATCATATGGATTACGATCGTAGACCGGCCCGCGCCAGGCGGAAAAATTCCTCGATTGGGTTAAGGAAAGGAGAATACGGTGGCAGGAAGGTCATGCTAAATCTGGCATGAACTACAAACCATTCACGCACAAGAGCCACATGCTGGAATCTGACATTGTCCCTTGATCGTCAAGATCTCCCTCCTCTAGTGGTAAGAGAGTTCCATGCAAGCCGTCCGAGAAAGCGAGCAGTCTTTCCCAGTTGCACGGACCCAGTTCAGCATGGTGAGCGGTGACGCCATTTCTTGAAATTGCCGCACACATGGTGATATTTCCCCCACGCTGACCAGGTACATTGACGGTGGCTCGCTGTCCGATGACATTTCGGTCTCGCCGTCGTCTCTTGGTTAAGTTGAAACCAGCTTCATCCACGTAGATGAATTCGACTCTTTCTGCTCGTGTATCCGCATCCATTATTCTCTAAAACGAAAAAAACAAAACAAAACAAAACAAAACGTCTAATGGAACGTAGCGGCTCCGATGAGATTTACAGGTTGGATATAGTTCTGTTTCAATAATTGACTCACTTGAGCATATTGGTAGCGCTGCCCCTTTAACTCTGATGCTGTTTCGCCCATAAGGCACTCTGGTGACTTGTTTCATTGGAGTTCGCCTTCTCTTCAGGATTCGATCGATGGTACTCAAACTAACGCTTGGGATATTTGCAATTACGTCACTGTCCTCAACTACCCTTGTCTGGATTTCTCTCAGACGGTGGATGGTGCTTTCCAGAATCGTGTTCACTGTCCTCCCTGTCGTTTGATGAAGAGGTATGTTCTGCTGCCAGAATGTGGTCGTCTCTCAGATCTGTAAATATACAAAATGTAATTCTAATTACCGAAAATGGGTCACTTGGGAGACATTCCCATAGGAACGTGCACAACATTTTTCAAACTTTACCGCCCCGTTATCCAATATTCCCTAATCCGATCTTAACCAAACTTTGCATGTTTTCCTTTCAGACCCTAATCTATCATCTCTCAAAATGTGGAAGGTAAAAATTTTCCTCCTTTTGGTAGTTCGAGCATTAGGAGACATTGAAATGTCACTCTAATGACCGATGTCTCCCTAATGTTGAAAAATTTACCACAAAATGTCTCCCAAGTGACCTATTTGGAAATATGAATGAACCACAAAATGTGATAACACTGGATGCAAACAACAAGATGACGGCCTTATTGGAGTAATTTCCGCGGCGAAAGAATTTCACGACATTATTTTTGAAATACCCATACGACTGACACTACAGCATACTTGGGGATATTGGGTCGCACCCATTGCCTAGCTTCCCTCTGTGTTAGCCCATAATTGATAACGTGATCAATGAGAGTCGCTCGTACCTCGTTGGACAAAGTGGATGCTGGTCGCCTTCCTCTAGCTCTTCGTTGATGACCTGTCCCTCGGACTCCTGCGGCTGCAGCCTGGCCATGTCGTTCTTGTTCCATTTACACAACATTCCTTCAGACGCTTATTTGCGGTCCTTTATATAGCCAATGTTACTTGTGATGAATGAACGATTTCATTAGGTCCTTTGCATTAGAGCGCTTTATGCATATGATTTCAGTAGATTGATGCTGTTTCCAAGTTGTACACGATTACGCCTTATTTAGTTGAGAGAAGAACGCGTAGGCCCTACACTTGAAAACCGTTTGAAAGTTGCAGTGCAAACGTCTAATGAGATGCAACAATTTGCTTGCGTACTGAAATTTGTGCGAATACAGCAGAAAAGTTCTCCACAAAGCATGCAACGTTGTCAACGGTGCGATTTCAATTCTGATTATTGTCAACTTAGTTGTAGTTGCAGTGTTGAAGGATTGAGAAAAACTGTAAATACCACACGCAGTTGGCAAGTTGAGGGCGGTATTCCTCGTGGCATTTACGGGTGCACCGCAGCAAATCAATTCCCATAGACAGCAGTGATAAATCCCCATACTTCACAAAATAGTTTTAAAACACTCACAACTCTCTCAGGCGTTCAGGCTGCAAAAAAAGGATGTTCGACATGTCCTCTTTAATTTTCCTTTTAATGTTTAGTGGGTTGACCAATGAATTTTCGAGAAATTCTCACCCAAAGCAGACCACCCCTAAAATGAAAGAAAATATCACTGCCCGGAAGAGAAGCCATTTTGAAAATGCACCCCTCTGCAAAATGGCTAAATAGTGCCTCTTTCGGACCTGATTGTATCCCAATTGCTCAGAATTCTGGTATCCAGGCCAGATGTTCAGTGCCATATTTCTTCAATTCCCAATTCCATGGTTCTCAGGAATCTCTAATGAAGAATATGTTGAGTGTGTAACTTTTATTAATGAGCTCGGCGGACATATTTCTGGTCTACTTACGTGGGTGCACCCGGTGCAGCCTTACCCTTTCCTCCAGCTACCAAACAGAAATGCGGCTCGTATTTGGTAGAAGATGCCTTTTCAGACCCTGATGTTAATTTTTTTGTGGACGGATTGAAGTTTAAAAAATGACTATGACCGTTTCTTTCTGTTGTGTACAATCTAACTGGCAGCATTTTTCTGCTAAGTGAATTAAGTTATTGGAACCTCATCTAGAAGAAACGGTACCTTATTTTTATGAGTAGAAATATAAAAATAAGTTTTTGTCCGAAATTGTTTGCCAAACTGGCCTATGGGGTAAAGGAGTTTTTGTGCCCCCTTTTGCGAGCAAGATGATGTAGTCCGACGCACCGTGAAGGTATGCAGTGGCAGGTTTTTTTCTTTATTTCTGAGGTCAGTCCGCAACCTTGGTGAGTACGAACAAGGTCGTTCTTTGTGTGAGTCCAACAAAACGAAATTCAGTGTTTATGGGGCTTTGCTTTTTGGAACTTGCATTTGCTAGCTTTGTACCCCGCCCAGTCGGGCATGACTCAGTGTAACGCTGGAAAGACCTCAACCCTGAGTTATGCATTGAGCGCAATTTACCACGCTTTATAAGTCTGTGTACACGAAGAGGACGTACCCATTGTGACGTCTTGTCTCCGTCAATACCCACTACCATTCATATGCAGAAATCGAGCAACTGGTTGATGTGAGGCTGAGCGCGACGGTCCAAAATAACCTGCTGACTTGCTCTTATGACTTTCACTTATCATCATGGCGTCGCGAGGAGGGAAATGTTTACTGATTTTAACGGTGATCGCCGCGGTGCTTAGCGGCGTGGATTCCAGGCCCGATGGGGCTCCTGTTGCGGCCTGTACTAGTCTTACTCCGAGTCATGGTGTCTCTCTCGCCAACGGACCCAGCCCATACTCGCTCCAGCTCAGCCAGTCGACCTACACACCGGGAGGAATGGTGTCTGGTAAGCCATGGGGAATAATGTATGTGATGGCACCTCAAGGTACCTGGCACGCCACAAAAACTTCGGGTGTGACAAAATACAAAGTAAAACAGAATCGCGTACACCTCAACCGTGTATGAATGCTGAATCCAACATGATTTCTGCATAAATTGGAAGTTTGGATGGAAAATTAAAAAATTAGAGCTTTATCGTGGTTTTCAGAAGGTTTTTTTTTTGTCTCTCTTTTCTACTAAACCATAACCCATCTTCGTGCCTTAATTCAAGGGGAAAAATCGTTGCCATTTTCGAGTTTCGTAAACAAATTTTAAAGAGGTTAAAGTTGATAAAGGGGATTTCTTTTGCAAAGAAAACGGTTTCCATACCCAGTAAGAACAGGGAAACCCTGTAAACTAGCCTTGCGAACTTTATGACACTCGACGTCGTGATGGTCGGACATATGGAATTAGTTCTTTAATCACTTGAAATAGTTATAACCTTTTGGTTACAAGATAGCTTGATGGCTGCCAGTAGGCTTATTATGAACAAATAATTTGGCTTTCCATTCAAGTTGGTGGCTTCGTTAAATCCATTTGTTTCAGTAATATATTTGACCTTAAACTAAAATTTGTCTCACAAGCAACATTCAGTGACACACCCGGGCGGGGGGGGGGGCTGAGGCCGCGGGGGTTGAGCCCCTAGAGGTATTTTTTTGTCTTTTAGAAAAACTGAAGATACAGTTTACACCAACATCACCTAAAATTCTAGTCCTCTGTGGTGCGAGGGGTGAGTGGACATGGGGTGTTGACCATCGTGTGCTATTTTGGGGGTAGATTCCTTACCAAGCCCCCCCCCCCCACGACAAATATTGGCTGCGCCACTGGCTCTGAGATGAAACTTACATCTTTTTCATCAGGTTTCTTACGTTTCTGGAATGCAAATTAAAATGAATTTTATTCCTGGGGAGTGATTAAAAGTAGTGAACACCCTTGTTTTTTTGTGTCATAATTTTACAAGATTGGCTGGTTACAGTGTATAATATTCACTGCAGCTTACATTCCACTGACTTGTTTCGTGTTTAAGTCAATCTGTTTCATACATTGTTAACTGTTGTCCAGGATGGTATCAGACTATTTTAGAATTATGTTGGTTCCAAGCCTCTCTTTAATTTTTTCATAAATATGAACTTATTCATAGGGGGCAGTCAGGTATAGCCATAACAGTCCTAAATCCTCCGATTTCAGTATGATTTTTACATACACACTAGGGGTGAGGGTTAAGTTGACAGAAAATTTCATTTTATTCGCTCAGCGATGTTTTCAAGTTCCAAACTGAAGAGTTAACATCACTTTCAATTTCAAAATGGCCGACTTAAGAAGAAGGTCCATTGAAATGTATGCATTCTTCGTTTTCATAATGCCGATAGTCGTAAATGTGTCTCAGAGGTGATTAAATGGCAAATACACTTCCCGAGCCGAGAACAGAAAAAATTTAAATCAAAAACACCAATAGTGAACAAATATTCACCACTCTTCAACCTCATTTTAACAATAATGTGAAGATTGCACTTTGTGTAAAGCTCAAAAGCGTAACATGTTCAATCGCGTAAAATGTCCCTGATTGTATACTTCTAAACCACAAAAATATTGATTACGTCACCGATGGATGAATGTTCTTAACAAAGTGAATATGTACATGTATTGATCGTTCATTTTAATCCGGTCTGTCAATTGGCACGATCTAAATGACTTAGAACCATAATATAAACTGTATTCAACTTGCGTTATCGACCATTCCAAATTGGCTTCAATTTGGCACACGCAAAATCCTAAACTTCTATGACATCAAGCATTTCTTCTTTCAAGAAAAAATTACAGCTGCGTGGATGAGGTATATGTATCTTTACTTTGTATGCAACACGAAAAGGCTGCTTTAGTTTGAACAAGATATCAAAAATAACGGGAGATTTCTGATGTCAGACGATTTGTTTAGGCTGAAGAGTATTGAAAACCCTTTTATTCTGGAAGTTGGCTCCAGTCGGAGCCTGTTCGTTATAATTGTCTGCAGAGCTGTAATGACTCGAGTCAATGATTAGAATCGAGTCCGACTCAACTCGATTCAACTCGACTCGAGTCCCTCGTGAGAAGACCCGGCTTCAGTGAAAGTTAATAAGGTTCGAGTCCCACTAAATAAAGGCGAACCTCTACAGTGCCGGTTTATAATGTTCATGCATACCGCATTACTATCATCAAGAATAAGCTGTCCTGTGACCACGTAAACCCAAAGATAAATTAAAAAGTAAAGGCTTTCTCTCGTGTTATTATTCACCGTTACACGGTGTTCAAATATTGGTGACTCGAGCTAAATAGGACTTCACTGTACTTGTATTTGACTTGACTCGACTCAACTCAACTTTTTCTTGCCTAATGAATTGACTCGACTCGAGTCACTACGTTATAATGACGCTACTCAACTCCAGTCTCAAGAATTAGTGACTCGTCACAAATCTGTCAATAAATTGTAGCCCAACACTTGTGGAATGTATAGTATTGAAATTTCTATCCCAATTTAGTACATCTGTAACATTTCAGGGAAAAGCATGTTCTTTCAAAATATATGAAAACAAGTTGAAGAAACTCAAATTCGTTTAGAGTATCTAAATATCTCGTTCTCGTTAATATTGACCTTAATTTTTATACTCCCGTTTGAATATATACGTAAGCTTATTATGAAATGTTTCTCCCGCCGCTCATGTAAGATGCGACGATGCTGAACACATTGCGATCAAGCCGTGTCTCTGCGAAACAATACCAGAAGCCTTGACAAAAGTGGGAAGCGTCGTCGTTGGTGATCCATCGCTGAGTCAGTCAGCCACACACAAAAATGATAACGACGTGTGTTCGGGAACTGTTGTGGACGTACAGGGTGCGGATGTCATAACAACATTCGGTGTTGTTGGTGTGATTAGGCAACGACATTGGAAAACCGCTGCCTGCTGGCCAAACGTGCATGTCTTGTCATACAAGAAGTCTGTCCTTGAAAGTAATGAAGAATGGTGAAATGTTCCTATTGTGTTGGACTGAAATGGTTCGCAATCCTCTGTTAGAATCATACGGTATCCATTACTAGGAAAACTCAGTCTCGTTTCCCATGTAAGAATATACTGGTATACTAGATATATGTTTTTACGTTCATCTTTGATTGTTACCTGAGAGAATGTTGTTGTTTCAATTAACTTATTGCGATTAATTACACGGGGTTGTAACCGCAAAGGCAAAACGGCCCCAGAGCCCATCTCTGGCTGTTTGGCTTTCTTGTCAGAAAAAATTCACCTGTTGACGTCTGTGAACTGATTAATCACAGACTATTAGGCTATTAAGCAAGCAAATGAAAGCTATGATATAAAAGTTAATAAAAATAAAAGCATCAGTCTGCACTGATAAATGACTTAAAATTTGAGATTAAACTAGCCGTATAAAGTTTTCTGTTTTAATTAAAAACTGAGTGTGGGGGCTTCCAACTAGTTTGGTGCCATTTCTCACAATAATTACGTCTTCCCCGTGAGTAAGTGAAGGTAGAGATTCATTTCGGACGGATCATTTTTGAATCGACTACCCTCATCGAAGAAAAACCGTGCCGGACATGTTTTGCACGCCTTAAAGCGAATCCCCCCTCCCCCAAAGTATAACAATAATATTTTGTAACACCACAGAGCAGTCTTAAACGGTGTACAATAGCTCAGTATTGACTCTTGGGGCCACTGCAAACTCTCGGTGGGCCATGGTGACGTTATCTCTCTGACAATCCACACGACAGCTGGCTATCGTCTTCACGTCTGCGCTTTCTCTTGGTCAGGCATGGGTGGATATCTGGTTCTTTCCACATTGATTGGAAATTTGAATATCAAAACGCTTAATTCATGGTCGCCGTGCCGCACGTCAATAACAGGAAATGATGAGAAGAGTTTATGGCGACTTTCTGTGCCAACTTCACCAAGTCTTCATGTAATTCGGCGTCTGTCTTATCCAGTTTGAAACTGAAATCGAATGACCACGTTGATCGTAATTCAACAATCCAAAAAGCACTATTCAATTCCACTATCTGGGCATTCCCTCGTCTGTAAGCTTCGTTCGCGGGAAATCTCGCATTTGTCATTCAATCGTAGGGAAAAGAACAGAAGGGTTGTTTGGGCATTCAATTTCATTGTTGGGCAAAATTTCTCTGAACATCTCCTTAATGTACAGACTATTACAGTGACAAAGAAAATTGCATGACCCTTCCCAAGAGATAAATAGTGAAAACAAAAACTGTTTCAGCAGCCCTTGTTCATTTCACTGTATCCTTCTGGTTGTCTCGTTTTAAATCTCAGATTTTGTTTAAACAAAGCCCCAAAGAACGCGCATTAACTTTGCTAATGTGAATCATCATGCGTCAAAAGCCTATAGGCCAAAAAGTAATTCAAGAATGCTTCACATGAAGCGTTAGATTCACCTTAACAAAACAGAACGCACCAAAACAAAAACGGACGTTTGGTACAAAATATTCGTTGCCTTAAAGATTTGAATGCCCATCAATTGAAAAAAGAACTGTTTGATCGGATGTGTTAAAAATTATGCAAAGTTGAATGGCCGACAGTGAAATGAAGAGAAAAAAAATTGCGGGGAAAACCTATAAATATCCATGTGCAAGATATCTTTCGTTTACAGCAATTACAAAAACATACTTTAGCAAATCCCTATGATGTTTGATAGTTTATTTTCGACGGACCGTTCGTTCATAACAAGCATATATTCCGGAACCAATGCGTACATTTTGTATGAAATCAGTATGCGTTCCCCAAACACGGAAGCATGGCTTTGTGAGCTCAAACCATACGTACAAGATGTTGACAATTTGTCGGCACCGGCAGTTGGAATTGGGGCATGTGAGTGACGCTTTACAACTCCGAAATAATTATTATTTCGATGCGTCCATTACTTAGCGTCGATTTCCGCGGGGGCCAACTGTGTAATATCTCGCTGCGG